CTCTCTCAAAATGCTTCTTAGTCTTGGAGGTGATCTGTGATACTTGTGTCCCCAATCAAGTTAGCAAATTCCTGCCCCAATGTAAGATGCTGGGGGCTTAGATGGGCCCGTGTTGACTTGAGGACTGAGGTGCTACCACTGTTTCATGCAGTATAGCACAGGAGGCCTAAGGGTGTGCCAGCCTGCTGGTGACCAGGTGAGTCAGGATTGCCCTGCTACTTGGCTGTAAGACCATGTGTGTGCATTCTGGTGACCGTGGTGCCCATTATCCTTGACATTGCTCTGCAGAAAGGTGCACTTCATAGTTTAATCATGGGAGCACTTTGAAATTGTCTCATTTAATTTTCATTTTAGCCGTGTGATATAGATAACACCATTCCCATTTTGCAGTAAACAGATTAGAGTGAAAAGTGATTTGGTAAAAGTCATATTCTTTGAAGGTTGCAGAACCAGAAGTTGAAATTATTTTTCTATACATGCAGCCCATTTTGTCATTAACAAACTTGCAGCCAGAATGTCATTATTGGTGACTGTATAATAGCTGCAGGGTTCTGAGGGCACCATTGAAATGTCCTTCCAGCACTTCCAAGGGGTCTTATTAGAGGGACATGGTCCTTTGTCATGAGGTGGCGGAGGCACTACATGGAGCACATCACTCGGCAAATGCAAAATATTCTAATGAAAATCATATTACACCAGACTTAAGAAGATGTTGCATATAACCTAAAGTAGGGGCAGATAACTTTACTGACTTGCTTTTAAGTCATCTAAATTTCTGTCAAAAGTATTTTCAAAACAGAAGTTCTAAATAAAAGCTGATAGTGAATGTGGGTCATGAAGAACAGACATGAGACCTCAGCAGGTCCCGTCTTAGTGGATTAGGTGGGTAAGTGTGCAGAGTCAGCACAGCCAGAGCTTAACCGTGACATTGGCCCTGGAGGAGAGAAGAAACCCAGCAGGTAAACCTGACAGTGGAGCTTTCTAGAAGGTTTTGGGAGACTGAGGATAGTGAAGAGAAAAGCAAAAGCCATTAAATGTAAGTAAGACTTTTTAAATGTACCTTCTTTTTTTATTTTCAAAGTAATCTGAGCTGCATTACTAATATTTGGAAATTGAATAGAAAAACATCACCAATAATTGATAAAATACTATTCATCCCTTTACATTTTTTTAAAACTTAAGTGTATTTTTGTTCTTCTAAAATAGCTCTGATTTTAGAAGAACAAAAAATCTACATGTAAATTTATATTAATTTTCACTTAATTTATAACAAGCATTTTTTCTAATTATTACTTGTCTTCATTATTGTTCTTAGCGATATGTTATAGTTCATCCACCTACTTCAAAAAGTTAACATTTATAGCTTTTTCTAAACTGAAAAGTACAGGAAAAGAAAATGTAAATGCTCTTTGATTCCAGGCCTAGATAACTTCTGTTAACTTTTGGGGGTGGTAAAGAAACTGTAGGGATGAGGAGAAGAATCAGAGCGGCTCCACTGTATCTGTGTCTTCTTCCAAAAACAGCCACTGCAGACATTTTCTCATGTGTCTAGAAAAAAAAAATTACTGACACTGTCCTCGCCATTTGTTCTTTTTATATACACAAAGGCATTGTACTTTACTGCTGTCAGGCCAGGGCACTGTCCCTTAGCCCAGGGCAACTGGGGCCGTGCTTCTGTGGTTGTATGTGCACACTACATAAAAATGGTCCTGACCAGTGAAAGTCCATCTACAGAAAACTTTTCTTAGATTTGACTTCAGAAAATACAACTTTAACAAGAGACTAGAGAATATAATATTTAAAATTTTCGAATGTTTGACAGTAGATTTCTCTTTTTCACTAATCTGTGTGGATTAAAGAGGCTCTTACAAGAAACTTCCTTCTATCATATGTGAAAAGAACATCTAAAACAAATATTTAAATTTAGGATTTTAGGAGTTATCCCACCAAATATTGGAATTAGGACCTTTACGTAAAGTACCCTCCTCCCCAACAGCCACTAGGAACATAATTTTTGAGGCATCTCAGAAAGTACTTGTCTGTTGGGTCGGCCCGGTGGCGCACTGGATAGTGCGCCGCTTGGGAAGCGCGGCGGCGCTCCCGTCTGAGGGTTCGGATCCCACATACAGACCGGCTCCCGCTCACTGGCTGAGCGAGGCGCGGGAGCAACACCGAGGCTTGCGATCCCGTTGCCGGTCCCGGTCCGGTCCGGGGGCAACACTGAGGGTTGCGATCCGGTGCCGGACATGGAAAAAAGACAAAAGACAAAAAAAAAAAAAAAAAAAAAAAAAAAAAAAAAAAAA